ATACGTCTGTGTGTGGTGGTTCTTGAAGCACTCACTCCAGCTGCAGTCCACTCTTTGTGAATCTCCCCCACATTTTTGAATGGGTTTTGTTTCACAATCCTCTCCAGGGTGCGGTTATCTCTCTTGCTTGTACACTTTTTTCGACCACATCTTTTCCTTCCCTTCGCCTCTCTATTAATGTGCTTGGACACTGAGCTCTGTGAACAGCCAGCCTCTTTAGCGATGACCTTTTGTGTCTTGCCCTCCTTGTGCAAGGTGTCGATGGTCGTCTTTTGGACAACTGTCAAGTCAGCAGTCTTCCCCATGATTGTGTAGCCTATAGAACTAGACTGAAAGACCATTTAAAGGCTTTTGCAGGTGGTTTGAGTTAATTAGCTGATTAGAGTGTGGCACCAGGGGCCATCAATTTTGAACCTTTTCACAATATTCTAATTTTCTGATATGATGAATTTGAGATTTTCATTTGTTGTCATTTGTAATCATCAAAATTAAACAAAATAAACATCTGAAATATATGAGTTTGTATGTAATGTATGAATATAATATACAAGTTTCACTTTTTAAATGGAATTACTGAAATCAATCTACTTTTTCATGATATTCTAATTTTATGACCAGCACCTGTACTTCCGGTCAAACCCTTAAGATCCCAAGTGTCCTGATGTCACCGATGGCCAATTCATCACATTCCCATATTCTATTCAGGATTTTGTTTTCTTTTCAAAGTTATACCCCGATTCCTTACAAAATCTCGGATGTTTTGGATAGAGCGACCAGCCAGAGCAGGATCTTCGGCCTTCTGGCATTGCTGGCATTCAATCATAGTGGCCAGTTTTCCTTTTTTGATGAGTTCGCCAAAATGTCGCATGACCGCAGCAACCTCCACGGAAGACCATGGACGCTTTTTGGCTCTCCTAGCACTTTCCAGAGATGCTAGAAAAAAGACAAATAAACCATTAATGAAAACCAACTCCACTTTAAAAATTTTTTATATAAGGAAATTTGTGTTTGGTATATTATTTGTTGCAACAAAGTTTCTTGGCTATAAATGACTGATTTAATGCCTATTTAGTCCCCTTTTAAAATATCCATTCATTAAGAACATTAATTAGTGGGACAAGCTACAGAAATGAGAATGTGGGTTGCACATATGAAAATTAATTTCTGCCATTGCCAAACAGCTTATTCTTATAGACACTTGCTTGGTAAGTGTTGTTCCTTATATGATTGAATTATGAAGAAAAGGCATATTTGTAATTTAAATAATGTATTTGTTTGACAAACAGGCCTCAGCAACTTGTGAAGAACCATCCAAAGCCAAAAGACAAATCTTGTTTCCCAGTGAAGGAGATCCCACTCAGCACCATCTTACTAACTTCACCAAAAGACGTTTTCTCTACAGGTGCAGCATCAGCGAAGGGCTGATGGTTGAGAACACTGGTTTACTAAATCTAACTTAATAACCCAGTGCTTTACAGTTTTTGGCTGCTTTGCCATTTTGAAAAAATTATACCATATGAATGCATTACGGATTTAAACAGGCATAGAGAAAGTCGTGTAAACATTAGTCTCATTAGTGATCTCTAAATTACAACCATTTTCTAGCATCTGACCATTGACTGTGTGAAAATTGATCATTTTAATACAGGGTACAGTTTTACATGGTATGTGCGTGGTAGTTTATTTAAGCCAGATGATATATTGTCTAACATTTCAGCTCACAGTATCCCGCATGTCATTACCCGATCCGTACCGGAAGCACGATCCGTACCATCAGCTCATTTGCGCCTGCGCGAACAGAATAACTTCCGGTGGCAATATTTCCTTTTTCTTACGTTTTTATTCTTTTGTATTTTTTAGAGGCATGGGTTTCTTTTTGTATATCTTTGTATTTTCGTCAATATTGCATTTTCTAAAAATAAAAAAACAGAAATACATAAAAAAGTTCAATCGTCTTGTGATAGTTACTTTGACTGCTCTGAGCATGCGCAAATATACGTCACACAGCGTTTATATTTAAATTTATTTAAATATTTGATTTACTCTGTACTTAACGATGCACTCCAGCAGTACTGATCCCACAATGGATTCATTTGCTACCTTTCGTGACCTGCAGTTTTTCATTGATAAGGGAACATTTCCCGAAAATTTGGATTTTTATTCCAGAAAAAAAATTAAAAGGATGTCTCCACATTTTCAAGTTAAAGGTAAGAAAATTAAAAAGTAAAACCAGCCAGAAAAAATATTCATTTAATAATTATTTAGTTTATAAGTCCATTTAATGTTTAAATAAGAATGATACAATTTTTTTTGTCCCTGGGAAAGCAGTCTTTTCAATTTTAAATCCAATATAGAATATATTTCACATTTAAGAAGATTATGTTCTTATTTCTTTCACTTTTTATTCTAGCAAGCATGTTACGGTCAAAGTAAAAGTATATATTTAAAATGTTAAATGCGATAATATTTTTTACAATTTTAAACTATTTATATATTTTATCTTGTATGCTGTTTGGGTTACTACATTTCTCTGGGATGCACAAAAATATCTGTATGCTTTAAATTTTATGTCTTTGCATGAAAAAAAAACATAAAATATGTTTTATTTATACTGTTTTCATATCATTCCATCCAACCATTCTTCTAACAGAGAGCAGACTCTTCTACGTTGGTCCCAGACGGCAGTTCATGCGGCTTGTGGTACTTTCTGAGAAAGAAAGAACATCTGTCTTGATGGAGTGCCACAATAATCCTGGTACTGGCAACCACAATGGCAGGAGGGCCACTCGAGACAGGGTTATTGCTGGGTATTATTGGCTCACCATCACAAAGGATGTTGATGAATGGGTAATGTAAAACAAATTAATTATGGCTCATACCTTCCATCACCTTTAATTTTGAAGACTTTTAGCATAAAGAATGTAATACACAATTAATAGAAGCTATAGGTTGTCTTTAGCTGATTTTGTTGTTTATCAGCCTGAATCAACTACACAAACAAATTTTCCTTTCAGGTCAAGCGTTGAAAACTGTAGCACCGGTTCTACATTCAATCAAGGTTCTAATTTTTTTAATTTATAGACTGAAACACAAGCACTGTTTTTATAAGTCAATATAACCCCTTTCCATTATATCTTTCTATTATTTGTTCTTTTATTGTGTGGTAGGTAAAAGAACCCTGGGAGGTTCTTGGATTGGACCTGATTGGGCCATTGCCAGAGACCTCTCTGGGACACAACTATGTCCTCACTATGACCGATCTGTACACAAAGTGGGTGGTTGCTGAACCTCTACGAACAAAGACCGCTGTAGAAGTTTGTTCAGCAATCATCTCTAAGCTGTACACGTTTGGCCTAGTGAGAAAAATAATAACAGATCAGGGGAAGGAGTTTGTGAACCAGGTGAAATTTTATCCATCTTCTCTTCTGTCATTTTTGCAAACCTCAGTCCTTTGAAGATATTTATGTGTTCCCTGCAGCTCAATGACAGTATCTTTAAACTGCTGAACATCCAGCATGCTGTGTCCAGTGCATACCACCCCCAGACCAATGGACAGGTATTTAGCCTTTGCTTTGCAAGAACTTCCATGTTTAAATCAAGTTGCTTTATTTATGAAAAAACATATCTTTCATTTAGGATGAAAGGACAAATCAAAATATAAAGCGTGCTCTGAGGAAGTACGTCAACGATAGGGATGGGAATCGAAAACTGGTTCCTGTTAAGAACCGGTTCCGTATTTTCCGATTCCATGGCATCGTTTGGCAGCTCGCTGAACGATTCTTTTTTCGATTCCCGCAGCACCAGAGCCTAGAGCGCCGGCTCTGGGGAGCACGACTTACGTCACGTTTTTTACGTAAGTTACGTAAGTTACGCAAGTTACGCAAGTTGGAAGAACTATTCGAGGAGGAAGACAACGAGCTGCGGTCACTTTGTGAATCAAAGCCCCGTCTTTCCTTAGCCCAGAGGGTAGATCAGGAAATCCAGCTCTACACTGAAAAAAAGAATTCAACCCCCTTTGGCATTTACTTAATCAAATTTAGTTACTTTAACACAATTGTTTTATGTCCTACCCTGCTAACATGAAAGAATTGTGTTAAAGTAACTATATATGATTAAGTAAATACCAAAAACTGTTGCATTACTTTTTTCAGTGAAAGCTTGCCCTCCATCCCCTGCAGGGATAGCGCCACACTGTGGTGGTGGAACAAGCAAGATGTGCTGCCCTTGCTATCTGACTGGCTGAAAACTACCTCTGTGTGCAGGCTTCCTCCACCCCATCTGAGAGGGTGTTCTCCACGGCTGGAGACACCATAAGCCCTGAAAGATCCCGTATCCTTCCAGAAAAAGCAGATATGCTCATCTTTCTGCAAAAGAACTGTTAATTTTCCCTACTACTGTTTTATAATTAGTATTTTTTGTTATTTAAAATAGGTTATTATCCCATCATTTGTTATTAGACATTGTTGGTTATTAAGTTTGTTCTTGTATATTTATTTTTCATTTAAACACAGATGTTACTCCAGTTTCACATTTCCTGTGGACATCTTGATCTTGTTGAGTTTGTAAGATTGTGCAATAGTTAAGTAAACAAAGTTGATTCTGATAATCAAACTGTTTGTTCTCCTTTTTCCCCCAAATTGGAATCGAAAAAAGAATCGATAAAGAATCGAATCGTTTCATAGAATCGAAAAGGGAATCGGAATCGTGAAAATCTTTTCAATTCCCAACCCTAGTCAACGAAAGCCATAATGACTGGGACCTTCACCTTCCTGCAGTTGTTTATGGAATTAACACTGCCAAGCAGGTAGTACACTAGTGTTTCATTTGCACAAAATATCTGAAAACAGATAACCATGAACTTTTTTGCCATCAGTCTTCAACCAAATACACCCCATACTTCCTCTTGTTCCACCGTCACCCACGTCTGCCCGAGATAATGAATACCTGTCCAATGGGAGACAACTTTGAGGTTGGTGATGCAGAGGATGAAATTGATAAACAGCTGACTGAAGTACACAATCTTAATACCAAGGTTTGTAAATGTTGAGAAAATATTAGAAGTAAGATTTTTTTTACAATCTTGCCTAAAGTGCATTTCTATTTTTGAAGGTTCTTCAAAATATTGAAATGGCACAGGAAAGACAGCAAAGGACTTTTGGAGACCGGAAACGCAAATTTACCCGTGTCGCAACTGTTGAGGCTGGGGATGAATGTCTGATTTCAGGGGCTTCAAAAAGGCCACGTACAGGGGACACATTGACCAGCCAGCACAGAGGACCTTACAAGATTGGAAACATTACAAAAAAGGGAGTGGCCACTGTGCTGAAGGGATCAACAACCATGAAGGTCAATGTGTCCAGACTGAGGCCCTATTATAGGTTAACAAGTAAGTGCTTTTAGATGTTCCACACTTCTGTGTCTTTGTGTTCATATTTTTACTTCATGAGAATAACTGAAAAAATGTTGTCATCATATATACAACCAGATGAGCAACTATCTGAAGGGCAGCTCCTCAACGACCACGAATACTCCTCTAGGGACTGGCAGCAGGAGCATTCCTATTGTTTTTCTGGAGCAAAGTGGGAACGGGACGTGAACCCAGTTCAAGAGGCTCTTGTATGCTTTGATATATTTTGCTCTGAATCTGCGCCTGACTGGCTCTGCTAATTTAATCTCCTCTCCTTTCTCACATTGCTGCCCCAAATGTAATAACTTCTCCTGAAATATTTTAATTTTCTTTCATTTAGCTATGTTACATATTGGACCAGGATTGTTCACCTGCTGAGATAATTGTGAAGGAGGGAAGTGTGTGCCTTACACGTGAGGATTTCTGGTCCTTGGGGTTAAGTCAGTGCATGGAATCAAATGAAAGTATTCTTAAATGTGTCTCATAAAACCTGTAATATCTAACTGTCTAATCACTGGTTAATTTCAATGTTTTTCAGATTGGAAATGCTTGCCTGAAAATAGTAGAGGAAACGGCAAAAAGATTTGTAATTAAATTGCCTAGATCTTCATATTCACGCCCTGTGAAACAATTGAAATGCTTAACATCATTCTTTCTGTTTTCACAAGGGAAAAGACATACACATCTTCAATCTGTATGTGGTGCCCCTGTGGAAGGCAGATGTGGATCCTTTGTGTTCACTGCCTGTAGGTATTTTCGTGAATTTATCTATATTGCTGTCCTCCTCACTCTTTCTATTCTTCAGTGTATACAACATGTATGATGTAATATTAATGCATATTGGTATTATTAAGACCTGACAACGAAAGACCTTGTAGTTTTCCCAGCATGGAGCCAACAACAGGACGCTGCTGATCACTAGCTCCTCTGCGTAATGACAATTTTTGTATTTTAAATAATCTCAGTGAAGGATTTATATGTATTGCTTTTTAATGATGTGATAATAAAAAGAATATCAATTGCAGGTTCTACTGGTAAAACAGAGAGAGATAGTGTTTCTTGACTCCCTTCGACCAGATGGTTTTGGTGACGAGGCCTACAAAAATATATTTAGGTTCAAGCTATATTGATTCACTGGTTGTGGCCTATTGCCAGTTCTGTCTCTTTGGATATATGTTCATAAAAGCCTCGTTCTCAGGCTAGGTGTTCATAAAAGCCTCGTTCTCAGGCTAGGTGTTCATAAAAGCCTCGTTCTCAGGCTAGGTGCTCATAAAAGCCTCGTTCTCAGGCTAGGTGTTCATAAAAGCCTCGTTCTCAGGCTAGGTGCTCATAAAAGCCTCGTTCTCAGGCTAGGTGTTCATAAAAGCCTCGTTCTCAGGCTAGGTGCTCATAAAAGCCTCGTTCTCAGGCTACTTGCATATTTCAGTGTGTCACCTTAATCTGAATTTATAATTCAAATGTATGCAGACGCATTGCAGCCTTTATTGATCCAGGGCCATGGTCTGAGAAGACAGGGAGAGACCTTGAAGTATGTTTGTAATTATCAAAGTGTAAAATGTTTGCAGTAAAACACATATTTATCGCTCATATATTTTTGTACTTTTCTCTAATTTTACATGTGTCTTTTTGCTTCTCTTTGCTCAGCATTTTCCTCTTCAGTCCAACGGACATGACTGTGGGATCTTCATGTTAATGGTATTCACTGCTTACTTAAAGCTTTTACTCATGGCTCAAACTGTGTGTTACAGTTATTTGATGTTTTACAGTATGCCCTCTGCATCAGCACATCAACCCCATTTACCTTTTCCCAGGTATGTTTATTTTAGTTTTTGGGGGGTTGATTACATTGAAATTCTTCTAGCCACTTGTAATTTTTATTATACTTGCTTTTGCCTGTTTTTTCAAGTGGGAGATGCCAACCATTCGCCGTTGGTGGTGCCTCCAGATAATGGAGAGGTTTTGCATTGAAGGGTACCTTCACACAGGAAACTTCAATGTCTTCTGTATTTTAGTTTACTATGTGCTAATGATCCTGTTGTTCCATTCAAAGGCATGGACAACGATTTGCTCACTGGACAGAAGAATCCTCCCATCTTCTTGAAGGAATCCTGGAACCGGTCTTTAGGGTTCCAAAGTCCACCAGTGCAGAGACTTCCCCCAGAAATGGTGATGGTGGAGAGGGCAATGCGAAGGTGTGTGTTTAATGTTTAGTGCTAGTGTAGCGAGGGTGAAAAGCATCAAGCTCCTGGTTCTGCTCTTTTCCTGATCACCTCTTTTGAAACTACAGAATTGAGTCACGTGTGTATATATATACTATATAGTATTTTACGTTTTTTTATGTACGTTTTTCATACTTTAGGGACAGACACAGACCCTGAGGGACTTGCATAAAGCATGGGACTGGATTCAACAGCACAAAGCCTTATTCTGTGGGGAAATAGGAGAACCTGAAGTCTTACAGGTGAGCAAGCCCAGGCAGAAAATGGCCCTTGAAGGATACAGTTCTGCAAAGGATCCCTTCTTAATTTCCTTCCAGTATCAGGAAGACATGGAAATGTTTTACATCAACTGTGTTGATGTAATGGGACTAAAGGTCAATACCATGTTTTGCGAGCATAGTTCTTAGAATGTTTGTATAGTCAGTTCTTAATAAGTTTTAAAGGTTTTCTTTCTCTCTCTGAATTATTTTATTCTCTGCCCAACTTTTCTAACTACCATTTTTTTAATAATGTATGCTTTGGCTTTGTTATGTGTTCTTTGTTCTATTCCCTGTTTGGTTTTTGTAAAAAATAAACAATGTGGGCATTAATGACGAGGTCTTCTCCTGTTTTTGATGTGTACACCAGAGGGCGCTAAAATATCAACTGATAACTTTAACGTTCTTAAAAAATCTATTTTATACAAGAGTATTTGTGTTCAAGTTTATTATACAACTTTATGTAATGTAAAACATTACAATATGGATTATATCTATATATATATATATATAGATATATATATATATATATAGATATATATATATATATAGATATATATGTGTGTGTGTAAACAAAATTAATGTTATTAAGGAATAAAATACATTTTTTTTTCTCAAATAAAAAAATAATAGAGTGCATTCACTCTATTATCATAGAGTGCATCAGATAAACGTTACGCAATAATATATTCCCAGACTGCTCCTGGCATGTCTGATGATGACGTCATGCAATACAATGGATTGAATTTAAAAAGCATCCATTTCTTCCAGAAAAGTCTTCAATATTGTCTTTACGGTGTAGTTTAGTGTTCTTTAATTATTTAAGGATATAAATAAAGTTTTTTCAGTACCGTAATTACATTATTTTTTGGCGACCCGGAAGTTATTCTGTTCGCGCAGGCGCAAATGAGCTGATGGTACGGATCGTGCTACCGGTACGGATCGGGTAGCGACACCGCAGAAAGAGGAGAATGGTAACCATATTACCTTTGGGTGGTGTGGATACTTTTGACCATGCTTCAGTTGTGTACGTGTGGTAGCATTTACCAGAATGTTTATCCGTGTTCTTTTTTCTGCCGAGTTCTTTTCCCTTTTTTAGTTTTCTGTTGGGTTCTTTCCCCTTAGCATCAGAGTGTTTACTTTGTGCTGAAAGAAAGAAAGAAAGAATTAAAAAAAAAATTTAAAAAATAACACTGGTCTGGATGAACATTTATTTGCTGTAGGTAAGTTTCTTGAATACTGTGAAGTCCAAGATGCTCCTTTATGGGGTTAAGCAACTAATTAATAAGTACTGAATTTATTATTCTCTTAATGATGAAATCAAGATTTAAAATGTAGACTTGTAGTTCACGGTGACACATATGGGCGTGTGATATGTCCAATGCTACAACAACTTATAACAAAAGACATTGAGCTGACGTGTGCACTAAAAAAAAAAAAAATGACTCAAGCGGTGAGTGGAAAGTTGACCAGCATTCTGCAAAACAAGGATGAGATCACTTAGAGAGCCAAGCAAACCAGGTAACCTAGAAAAAGACATACCACTAAATAAATACTTTCCTAGATCAGCCCCTTCTTTCGGGTCAGGGGTCGCCACAGCAAGCCAATGTCTTCCACCTCCCCCTGTCCTCTACATCCTCTATCCTCACACCATCTACACTATATTGCCAAAAGTATTTGCTCACCTGCCTTGACTCACATATGAGCTTAAGTGACATCCCGTTCCTAATCCATAGGGTTCAATATGACGTCGGTCCACCCTTTGCAGCTAGAACAGCTTCAACTCTTCTGGGAAGGCTGTCCACAAGGTTTAGGAGTGTGTTTATGGGAATTTTTGACCATTCTTCCAGAAGCGCATTTGTGAGGTCGCACACTGATGTTGGACGAGAAGGCCTGGCTCTCAGTCTCCGCTCTAATTCATCCCAAAGGTGTTCTATCGGGTTGAGGTCAGGACTCTGTGCAGGCCAGTCAAGTTCATCCACACCAGACTCTGTCATCCATGTCTTTATGGACCTTGCTTTGTGCACTGGTGCACAGTCATGTTGGAAGAGGAAGGGGCCAGCTCCAAACTGTTCCCACAAAGTTGGGAGCATGGAATTGTCCAAAATGTCTTGGTATGCTGAAGCATTCAGAGTTCCTTTCACTGGAACTAAGGGGCCAAGCCCAGCTCCTGAAAAACAACCCCACACCATAATCCCCCCTCCACCAAACTTTACACTTGGCACAATGCAGTCAGACAAGTACCGTTCTCCTGGCAACCGCCAAACCCAGACCCGTCCATCAGATTGCCAGATGGAGAAGCGCGATTCGTCACTCCAGAGAACGCGTCTCCACTGCTCTAGAGTCCAGTGGCGGCGTGCTTTACACCACCGCATCCGACGCTTTGCATTGCACTTGGTGATGTATGGCTTGGATGCAGCTGCTCGACCATGGAAACCCATTCCATGAAGCTCTCTGCGCACTGTTCTTGAGCTAATCTGAAGGCCACATGAAGTTTGGGGGTCTGTAGTGATTGACTCTGCAGAAAGTTGGCGACCTCTTCGCACTATGCGCGTCAGCATCCGCTGACCCCGCTCCGTCAGTTTACGTGGCCTACCACTTCGTGGCTGAGTTGCTGTCGTTCCCAAACACTTCCATTTTCTTATAATA